TAATTCTTCACCAGGAACTGCATCTACATCAGATGGAGATCCCAAAACTCCAGCTGGACCACCTAAGGTTAGTCATCATCCTTGTCTGAGTTTGATTTTCTTATTTTTTTTTTTCTTCTTTAATTCCTCTGCATATATATAATCCCCTTCAACTCACAATGGATTTATTTATGTAAATAATTTATAAATAATTACTAACCACCTTTTCTGACCGATCCAGCCGAAAATTCATCGCTCGAGTGACACCGAAGATGATGATGAAAAAAACCCAAAGTAAATTTATCTTGTTAGCTTTTACTTCATTTGATACACAACAACACCAATCACATAATTATGACAATTCTTGTAAATGGCATTGGATAGGATTCGTCTTCATCGTGTTCTGGAATCTCGAAAAGCAATGCTCAAGAAAGAGCAAGCAATGGCTTATGCTCGTTCACTCGTGGCCGGTTTTGAGATGGACTCGTTGTATGACCTTGTCTCTTTCGGTGATGCTTTTGGCGCTCACCGTTTGAGGTAAAAAAAACCATAATAATATAACAATAGAACTTCATATTTTCATGTATCTTTACTTTTTTTTTTATTTTTAATTTTTTTTTAGGGAAGCATGTGTAAACTTTATGGAACTTTGTAACAAGAAAAACGAGGACAAGATTTGGATGGATGAAGTTGCTGCCGTGCGAGCTTCGTATTTAGGAACTTCTGGAATTACAGAGACGAACGAAGGTATAATAGCATTTAAAAAATTTGAAGTATGATTATTGAGAGGATTTGTTTTTCCATATCCTGATAATTTGAAGTAAGATTATTGAGAAGATTTGTGTTTTTCCCTTTAAAGTTACAGAAAATGGTCTGCCGGTCGAGTTCAACCAGCAACAGCCACAATTACCAAAATGGCCACAACATTGTCCTCAGTACATGCAAAATAGCCAAGCCTCTTTATTCCAACCTTACCCAGGATACATATTCCCAGGCAGCATGCCATGGCCTGCAGACTTCAGAAGGCAAAAATCTCACAAGACAAAGGAAAAATATGCAAACACGAAAAACGAAGAAAGCGTGGAAAGTGATGGATCAGGTTCAGGAAGCAGTAGTAGTTCTAGTGACGAGATGGTAAAAACCAAGAAGCACAGTAAAAAATCTTCGTCGAAAAAAGTTATCATCCGCAACATAAATTACATAGCCCAGGGAAGAAACGAGTCCCATAGCAATTCATCTGGTGAGGAGGAATATATGAGGCCGAAATCTAGCAAAATGAAGAATGTTGGCAGTGAGTTAACTGAGAAGGAAGGAGTATTTGATTCCGAAGAGCAAAAGAAAGATGGGAATTGGGATATCTTCCAGAACCTTCTCATGAAGGACTCAGGCTCGAATACAATGGATGTTTCTCAAGAAGATTATAGCCAGAAGGTTTATGGAGAAGAAAACTCGTCTTCTTTATACACAAGTGGAAAATATGCCGGTGATGATTTTCTTCTTACCGGAAGCTCCACAGGCAACGGATTTGGGAAAAAAGAAGATTATAAAACTTTCGAAGGTGGCGAAAGTTTCCATGGAGTTGCTAAGAGGACGAGCAAAGATGAGGAGTTTTTAATTTCATCAAGAACGGCAGAAAGAGGGTACTATATGGAAAATGCTCGTCTAGATAGCACGGAGCCTATGGTAATGAAAACAAGGAAAGACGATGATTTTGTAAAATTGGATGTACACCAAAATGCAGAAGGATATATTAATACGGATCACAATATGTTTTCGGGAGATCAAGCCATGGCAAATCGGAATATTCGGACAGCAGAAAACAAAGTAGATGTCCTAATGGACGACTCTTTCATGGTCCAACCACGAACTTCAGACGGCCCATCACAAACTCGGCCTAAAGATGACATTTTCTTGGTTACTGACATGGCTGGAGTTGACAAGACGAATAAAAACGTGCCTGGAAAGTCGGAAGATAGTCATAATCATTACTATGAACCAGAAGACCTTAAAATGATGCTCGGGCATGATTTGGTCAATGAACAAGACTATAAGAATGATTTTTTGCTAGTTGAAACAGTTGGGGCTCATATGAAAGGCGAACCAAGTGAGTTAAACGTGAAGGAGGGTAAAAATGGAACAGGAAAAGAAACTGGACGAAAAATGGGTAGGAAAGAACCAATGTCTAGAACTCCAAGTGGATCTTTGGGAAGGAGAAAATCAGATATACCACCGAGGAGCAAAATAACGGTGACTGGAAAAACAATGAATAGAAGCAAATCTGTAACGGTATAATAATATTGTCATCTGGCTAATGTGGATATATAGCTCTGCCTCTCTGCAACTAAACAGAACTTAACTAACACTTGCTATATTCTGTTCTTATATTGTTCAGGAAGACGAGAAAAGGAAGAGAATGGAAGAATTGCTAATACAGCGCCAAAAGAGAATCGCCGATAGAAGTTCATCTAAAGGGCTTACTGTTAAACCGCCCGAAACATCAAAAAGGCCACCAAAAGAAATCAAGAAAAACAAATCTGTTTCATCACCAAATCCAAATCCAAAACCTCTTGGCCCGGTTTTCAAGAACAAAAACCCACTTAAACCTGTCATGAGGAACAAGCCTTCTTCGCCAGCTGGACCAAAAACTGAGCATAACAAAAAACTGACTCCAAATGTAAAAAACTCGCCAAAGGCAACTCAAGAGCCGAAAAATGTCATGGCTGATGTTCGGAAGTCAGAAAAAGTGGAAGTCAATAATGGCATTTCCGAAGAAGATGTTGGAGAGGTCAAGATATTACACACGGTAACATCGATAGAAAAAACGCAAGTAATTGCAGTTTCTGCTAAAGATGATATGCTCGAGAAGAACATCTCGGATAGAGTTGAGCTGACGATTACACCTCAGGTGGAACAAAATGATTCGAAACCGAGCGAGAGAAAAAAGTTGACATTTTCGCCAGAGATCTCCATTGTGAATATTGCTACTACACCGCCAGAAAGTGAGGAAGCGATTATTCATTCACGAAAGAAGTGGAACAATGGCGAAAGCTCGCCTAAGATACCCAAAGGCTTCAGAAGGCTCCTTTTGTTCGGTCGTAAAAGTTGAAAGCTGTTTTTTTGCGTGGATTTGTCTCGTGTTCTCTTGTTCTGCATGCAAGAAGCCTTGTTCTTCTGTATTATAGTATTTGTTTTAATTGTTTCTTGTGATTTGCTTTTGCTAGTGTGATGTAATTGTGAAATGATTTTTTGGGTGTGATGTACATTTGCTGCATGCTTGTGTCTTGATGCTTTTCTGTGTCTAATTGGATTTTGATGTTGTGTTTTGTTCTGAGATGTAATTTTAATGTGGCTTTTTAAGATTCAAGAGGTTGGTGAGTGAGTAAAATCTTTTGTTATAAGTGACTTTAACACGAATATAGAAATGCACCCTTTAGATATAAGTTAGATACAAATATATCCGCTCAACTCAAAATGAGTTTTTTTTTTTTTTTTTATTATTAATTATGGTTAATTTTAAAAAATATGATTTGATTAGTTGTTAGTGGAATCTTAAATTTATATTAAAATAATATTTAAAATAAAATAATTAAAGTTTATTTGATGTAAAAGTAGGAGAGATATGATGTGAAGTGATAGTTAGTTAAAATTATGTGGATGGATAAATAGTGAACTATTGATGGGATGTGTAAGAATAATTGTTTTGTATTATTTAACTATATTGATAGTCTTGAAGATAACGGAGTTGAGTTAAAATTGAGTTAAATTTTGAGTATGAATTGAGTATGGACGGGAAAACTATATAAACAAACACCCCGTTAGTATAAGAAAAAGTAACTAGTAACGTTGAATTACAAATATTGGTTACTAGTATAATATTCATGTATTACACGGGTACTTGTTAATAAATTTAAATTAATATTTAAATTTAAATAATAATAACAAACATAAATTATTTTAATTTTTAAATACTTTGTTGAAAAAATATATTATTTTTATATTTAAAATAACACTTGTCATTTACACGACTTACCATATTATATTATAACAATTTTTTAATTTGTATCTGATAACTACTTTGTAGTTAAATTAAATTAAATAATTTTATTTTTTTGAATTAACATTAAAAAGTGATTTAATTTTAATTATAAAGATTGATAAATTATTTATTTAGTTTGTATGTATAATATAGATGTCAAACTGAAGTTCATCAAGACATGATTAATTTGATATATTATATATAAAAAATTTGATAATAAAAACAAATTATTAACTTTTAAATATTTATAATTTAAGTTAGTAATTTTGTTATAATTTTAAAAGAAAGATGATGAAAAAAGAAAGATTGAAAAAAAAATACCTTATAAACCATGTCTACCATAAGAATTGATATTTAAACATGATTAATGCTCTTAAAAATGATCATAAATATTCAGTATATATATGGATATTCCAAGCTTAGTTACTTTTGGATTAGAAATAAATTAAAATTCATCCAAGCCAAACAACAAAGCTTAAAAATTTGTCACATAGGACTCCAAAGTATGCAAGTCTGCCACATAGGCTTACTACATTCGAAAATTATATATAGAGTGATATAATATATAACAACGGTCCAGACCTACAAAGGAAACCACGCAGTCAGGTCGGGTCAACGGAGGAAGCCGTATTCGACCTAAGCGTACATGACTAAGAGGTCGAGTCGACCTCACTTTACTTGGGCAATAGGGGAGCCGAAGAAGAACAAGTTCTACCAGACGGAGGGTTTCGACCTGGTAAAGAGGTTTCGACCTCATAAGGGGGCAAAAGAGCATCTATATGTTCCTCGATGTTATAATTGTGTATAGATTATTATTAACTTTGTCTGTAAATTTAGCACCGGCATAAATGAGTTTTTCTAAATTGAAGTTGTTAAAATCTTATTTGAGAACATCCATGAGTCAAGATAGATTAAACATGTTAGCTATTCTATGTATCGAGAAGGATATTATTGAAAATCTTAATTATGGAGACATAATTGATGATTTTGCCGCAAAAAATGCCCGAATAATCATTTTTGAGTAATTTCTTTACTATTACTTTTTTGTTGCCGCCACGGTTATTTGACATTTAAAATTATTTTTTCTGATGATTCTTCTGATATTGATGATCTTTATGATGATACATTTTTTTTAAAGTACTAGTGACATTATCTTTGCAAGGTGAAAGCGTATCAAGAGATTATCTTTTGTACGCGTGATAAGTTTTGTATTCGATTTTACTTGTTTCTAACTATGTAGGAGGTTGTAATTATAATTTATAATTTTATTTTTTTTATAAAAAGAATGTTGGAATATTATTTTCGTGAAGACATTATTTTTGTACGCGTGATAAGTTTTTTATTAGATTTTACTTGTTTTTAACTTTGTCGAGATGTTGTAATATTCTACAAATTATAATGAAATTTTAATTATAAAAAAGAATATTGATTAAAATGACTTACTTTATTTCATAAATAAAAATAAAGTACTTAGGGCATTATTTTAATATTTGACCGGGCTTAATAATTTTCAAATCAGTTGCCAACTACAAGGGTGTGGGCCCATAGCCTTCGGTCGGTGGGGTGTGAATATCAAAGCCTGGTTATAGTTGAATTTATATATACGTTTATTTCTTTTCACAATAAATCCAATTTGGTGGTATCCACCTTTTTTTTTTTTTTTGGCAGGTGAAGCGTTGTGCTGTCATTACTCTCTCTTCTCAATCTCCATTACTTTCTATCTTTCTCTCTTTCTCAATCTCTCATAGCTTCTCAGGTATTTGGAGAGAGAAACTCGGATTGGAAAGCAAAACTAGATCCGCTGCTGCTTCTGTGTTTATCTACTTCAATGGCGTCCAAGCTCTTGCTTATCATCGTCTTCATTTTCGATCTCATTGCCTTTGGTTTGGCGGTTGCTGCTGAGCAGAGAAGAAGCACGGTCAGTGGCCTTCTTCTCTTTCTTTTTTCCCCTCATTTTACTTCATTGGCCCTTTTGATTGTTGAAGTTTTTATTCTTGAGATCCATGAATGAGTTGTTGTTGTTGCTTGCCTCTTTCTGTTTGTGTGATGAGCGTATATGCTACTAATGATTCGTGGATTGATGGTGCTTTATGACATAGTTTCGGAGCTTTGTGAGATTGTGTATTTTGAGAAATTGAAATCTAACGTTGACCTTGTTCTCTGCTCAAATTTTAGCTCTTTGAGTATTCCATCAGTTTTCTCCAATTCAATTACCTTGGATCTAGTGTTTGCCTGGGTTGTAGCAGTATCCTTCAAGCAAACAGTATAAATTGGAAGTAAAAAAATTGCAATACCATGCAGTAATTGTTCGTTGTAGCTGTATCATATAAGCGAACAATATAAACATATTATCTTGTACCAGTTTTAGTTAATTTGAAATTTTATTTTAAAGAAATGTTTTCCCTTATTCTTAGCACTGTGGGGTGTAATTTACTTGAAAGTGCTATCTTTCTGGTTGATGTGTGGCTTTGCTCTCTGCATTAGTATCCCAACTCAAGATTTTTTGTCGATAATGGCTCTTTCACACGAACACCTTATATCCGACAAATGCAACATTTGGTATATTCCATATTGCCGCTAACAATGAAACTAGATTTTCATTTGCCTTGCCTTGTCACCTGATGACAAGCATGCATCATTCCAGTAAATGACTTAACAAAACAATAGTGGTTGCTAAAATCTGAGAATGTTCAAGACTCAAGAGTTGTGAATTTCAAACTGAAATATGCATATTTAGATTCAGTTAACCCTTGTTTGATATCTCAAGAGTATTCTTGCATATATCAGGTCTGATTTCATTATTTAAATAGCTAGTTCTGTCAATTCTGGACAGGGAACAACAAAAGAAGACAGTGAGAAGTACTACACCTATTGTGTTTATGACTCTGATATTGCCACTGGGTATGGTGCCGGTGCTTTTTTGTTCCTAATGGCCAGTCAAATACTTATAATGGTTGCCAGTAGATGCTTTTGTTGTGGGAACCCACTGAAACCCGGAGGCTCAAGGGCTTGTGCAGTGCTTCTCTTCATAATGTGCTGGTATGCCTCAAATTCAAATAATTAATGTCATAGAAAGGAGTTAATAACAAAAAAGGGTTTAACCTAATAATTATAAATAAACCCTTAGGATGTTTCAATTCCTATTGAGATTTGTAATTTCTCTGTCAATACGACTCTCTCTAAAGGCGATTATTTACCTCCGGTAAGTAGCCAAATCTTTTATTTATTAGACTACTTTAAGTTTCATAACTAATAAAAGAATGCAAATGCTGCGAGGAAAATTGGCAAAGAGAAATGCAGAAGTCTTAAGCTTAGTGCGCCCTTTGCTGTCTTATTTGTAGCTTCTGATCGAACTTAAATTAATTGCAGGGTAACATTTTTAATAGCCGAGATTTGCTTGCTGGCTGGCTCGGTGAGGAATGCTTACCACACAAAGTACAGATCAAGGTTTTTCGATAACCCGCCATCTTGTGAGACGGTGAGGAAAGGAGTTTTTGCAGCAGGGGCAGCCTTTGTTTTGTTTACAGGGATAATATCCGAGTTCTATTACGTCAGTTATTCCAAGGCTCGTGGAGGTTTTGGGCCCCATGGAGGGGAAATTGGAGTTGGCATGGCAGCATACAAGTAGTGAGAGTCTTGAATAAAATTTCCATGTACTTTAAGTTTGATAATGTAATTGATGATGATTTTGCATTTTTTGTTTTGTAAACTTGTCTTTGGGATGTAGGGTTTTTGGTGAGCAATATATATAAATCTCTTTTATCATTTTGATTTGGGTTGTCTTCATGCAAATATTCTGTAGTTTGTGCATATGGATTATACGGTGTTCCATGGATAGGTCATATGTATGTATGTGTGCCTTTTGATATGATATAGTTGAAAAATGAATGGACAAGAGATTGTGATTTGTCAAAGGTGTTACTATTCACCGCCCCCCATATTACTAGTCACCGCCCCCCTTGGACAATTTTGCCCTTCTCATTTTTTCTAAACATCTCAGAGGAAAGTGTACGGTGAAATGTCGTCAAATTCGGAGGTACGAAAAAATACGTGTACGGTCGTCGGTTCCGGACGGGCTAAAAGCCGTCCGGACGCCGGAACCGGACGGACTAAAAGCCGTCCGGACCGGCCGGCCGGACGACAAGTAATACCGGCCGGAAAGCACGGCCGGACGGACCGTTGCTGTCCGGACCGGCCGGCCGGACGGCAAGAAAGCCGTCCGGAAACGACGGCCGGTCGGAACCGGTCCGTCCGGTTCGGCCGGCCGGCCGGAATTTTTTTTTTTTTTTTTTTTTTTTTTTTTTTTT